GAGGATGCGAAATGGACAACAGCCACCGCAATTTTAGATCGACAGGAACCTGTCAGATTTTAGAGGTATTTCTCAAAAAGCCGAGAGCGCATGCTTGAGCCAAGACAAAGTCTCAAGATTGTCTCCGTTGCATGGAAACATTGTATGAGGAGACTGAATGGTCTATCTAGGTTGCCGTCCTAGTGGATAGCGAATCCTTCCTAGAAATCCGTCTGAATCAGCTTGAAAAAGGCCGGCTTCTCACGGGATTGTCGTAGTGCGGTCGGCTGATGCCTGGTACTCGGGTTTTCCTCTTCGCGGAACTGATCGCCAAGGACCCGATTTTCATCGCCCCGAAGTCTCAGCTATCGGCAAAACATAGATCAGGAGGATTCCGTAGGTCGTGTGTGCCTAATGCTTCGGTAGCAGGCGCCAAAAGTCCTATTGATAGTCATGGATGATCCAGAGTTGACACTTTCATATGGACATGCACGCACCAGTAGTCTCAGTTCTTCAATTTCTGACTGGCCCGAGCAAGACTACACAAAACACCTCATGAGTGGGACACGGCCTCACACAGCCCTTGCGATCGTCCCGTCCCATCCGTCATAGAAACGAAACTCTGCCTCAGATGACTTGAACAGCAATTTGCAGAATTAGGAAGGTGCACTACACTGAGGCAGATGGGTACAAGGTGTTATTGAACTCATCAGTAGTATAAAAGGAGCCGAAAGTTCTGTTCGGATGACTCTCCACCAAGAAGCAACTCATCCAGTTCTGTGCCAGTCCACATTGAACTCTCATATCGAAATTCTCTCTACATATACAACGTCACCTCTAGCCCGGAATGCACTTCGCTACTTTGACCAAGACCGTTCTGGCCGGCATTGCTCTTCACGCAGGCACAGCGACTGCCATCTTTGAGTGCAATGCGGATCAGCATGCTTTCGAACCCACGAAAGACAAGTTCGTGGTACACTATACCTCTATTCGCGACTCGAACTACGATGACGGTCAACCTTGGGTGAGTGATGCTTGAGATGATACCCTTCATAGAGACCAGTCCGTCTTTTAGGGCGCTTCTGAGCTAACATAGCAGTAGGTTCGCATTTGCAAGCCCAAGGGTGATCTCAGCGGCTGGAACAACGTCGACCCCTTGAAGACACCTTGTAAAAGCGATCCAGCAACACACTTGTCTACCAAACAGACCGGTCTCAGGAACGAGCTGATCGTGACGAACGGCGAAGGATGCGACAGTGGCAGTGGTCACGGTCTGAATGGCGCATCAATGGTTTACAATGACCAAGTGGCCGTTCTGGAGGGCTCTAACGGTCGATGTGGACCTCGAGATCATGGAGTTACTTGCGAGTTCAATCTCTAGTAAAATTATCAGACCAGCCGAGAGCCCCCAGTCACGACTGTATGAAGCAAGAAAGAACTATTGACAAATATACTGATAGGGTATTGTTGGATTTTATTTCGATCGCATTATCAGAAATACATTTGAAATGACTTGAGTATTTACCCATTGGAATCACAATTAGGATTTAGCGATGCACTTGGTGAAGCCTTCATTAGCCATTATCAAGTAAGGTCAGCCAGCATGCACGTAAACGTTTTGGAGGAGTCTCGTGAAGAAATGATATTGTCTTCAATGCCTAGTGGTTGTCTTTGGACCGACAACTGTATTTAAACGCTGCCGTCTCTGCAGAAGGTGGTGCGGGAGAATTGAGTCTTGCAGCACGTGGTGTAGCTCTCCTGTGTGGAAGGCTCGCACTCATAACCGTCTGGCAATTGTTAGTGACCATGCAGCACATTTGACGAGATTTATTACGTACTCCACTTTCCGTCACAGCAGGTGATTGAATCAACGTTGCTGCCGTCGCAAGAGCACAGCAGGGCCTGGGAGGCTCCGATGAAGGGGCTGTGAACCAGATGTCAGATTACAGTGCTTTCCTCATGATGAAGGAAACTTACAGGACAAAGAACAAGACCTTGGACAACTGCATTTTGCTTGTGATAGATGATGGCTGTGAATTAAGGGAAAGGCAACATTGGTTTCGAAGATGGCGACAACTTGCTCTCATATACAACTCATATTGCGTGTCCGTGTTGTCCGAGGGTTTCGTTCCCCGGATCAAGCAGGTTGCTTCTCTGGAACTTAGAGTTAAGGGTGCGGAACCTGATAAAGTGCAGTCCTTCTTCTTTGGGAAGCAATCCCGCGACGATTAGATTGGGCGGCCCCGCCACGGAACGGGAACAGGGACGCAAATGGTCAAGATCGCTCCAGTCGCTTGGTAGCTTTCGGGATTCATCAGCCGACCAAACACGAGCTCCAGCCAAGAATTCCTGCAATCTGCCCCTTGAGTCCGGCCTCGGGGCAACTTGAAAGGGGCAGGACACACACATGATCAAAAAAGGGAGGAGTTGTGGCTGCATTCATGTTTTGATGGTCAGTGCGACTCTGCCAAACAAACTGAAGTCCGGAACAATGCAGCTCGAGTCACGGGTCGTTGTGGAAAGCTTTCTGCCTCGGCCCACGAAAGCTTCCCAAGAAGTTGTTATTCTTGGTTCCAAGCTGCTAATGACACCTTCCTACACGAGAAATAGGAAATGGCCTGAAAACACATATGGTGTGGTGCAAATCTGCACGCTACCTACTAATAGAATTGACCTCACCCAAAAAGCTGCGAGGAAAAAAAGTAGAGTATTGGCGAAGAAAAAGTTCATGTGAAAAGACTAAGAGCCCAGACTAATAGAAGAACAGCCCTCGGGGGCATTAATAGATTATTCCACGTGTAGTCTCTGAGGAACCTAACATCTCCGTCTGTAGAGAACCGTTGTCTCATGCGAAAGCCGGCAAACGCGGATGAAGCAAAAACTCCAGTCTTACAAGGGCGTCTTCAGCCAGACCTTGAAAGAGTAATTGAGCCACCGTCAAACGTCACTTTTGAAGCTTTCCCTGTGTTGGCCATATCGAACACAAATTGGACGTCCACACTGGATCCCAGAGAGCCAACATCTTGCCAGGTGATGCAAGTGGGTGTGCCCATATCAACGGGCGCGCTCTTGTCCTGGAATACGGCGACAAACTGGTGCTGAGCTTCAGTCATCACGTTGCTAGGGTAAAGACGAAAATCAAGATTCTCAAGTTTGATGCCAGCGGAGGCCGCAATCTCATTCCGGAGATCAACATCGCCCTTCTTTAGCGATGTCACGATGAGCCCAGGGCCATCGCTCGAGACGTTGAAGCTTGCTGACCCTGCAAGCCCATCGAAGGATCCAACGTATCTTGCTTTCGCCTCTGCAGCTGCGAGTTTCTGCAACTGCACAATTGCAAGAGAGACAATGTCGGCGTAGACATTCAAGTCGGGTCCTCTGGCAGCTTCGGTATCATGAGCAAGAATAGCGAAGCCTGTGTTGAAGTCTGGGGCCAGACCAAAGTAGCTTGCGTAGTGGCCAATCAGGCCTGTCTTAGTGTAGACATCGAGGATGGAGCTGTTCGCATACTGGCCCGCGTGGTAGATCTCCCATGGGCGACCAACACCATTTCGCAAGTTTGATGTATCGGCGACGGGTTGGAGCCAACGACGTGTCGCGGCTTTGGGGATGAGGCGTGAACTTAGCATGGAATGGCCAGCACGTGCAAGGTCTGAGGCGGTAGAAATGACAGATAGCGCGCTGTTATTTGATAATCAGTGGACCGAAGATTGTGGGATGCGAGGATGCACTTACCCAGGTTCTCCGATAGCCGACGTATTGAGGCCATCTGCGAAGACTTTCTTATTCTTGGCCAGAAGTCCGCTATCGGTCATGTTAAGCGGTCCAAAGATTGCCGTATCGAGGATTTGATCGAAAGTTGCAGATCGGTTGCCGGCTTTATGGGCTTCAAGCGCAAAAGCAAGGAGCTGGAAAGCAGCGTTCGATATCACCGGAGTTGTATCAGGGAGAAACAGCGGTGACTGTGTAGCGAACTTCTCAACGAAGTCGTTGCGGGCGCAGGGCTCATCCAACCTACAAGCGAACGCTGTCGAGAGTTAGCTGAGATCTGCATGGCTTTGCTTGAATCCAGATAACCTACAATCCCTTGCAAGGCCGGACATCTGGCCAGCCAATGCCCCGATGGTAATCTCATCCCACTTGACTGCCAATCCAGTGGACACATTGCCTAGTTCTGGGATAAACTGAGTAATCGGTGTCCCCCAATACTCATCGCCAGCTTCCACGAGCCAAGCATAGACTGTGAAGAGTTGACTTAGTGTGCCGAGTGGGAAAATAGTGTTGGAGTCTAGGCTCGAATCCTTGGGGGCTTCAGATGCCGTGTGATGATATTCGAAAAAAACCGGATTCTCCTCAGACTCGTCGGAGCCTGAGAACAAGACAACTGAGAAAGAAGTAGTATTCGGTGTAATGTCGCCAAAGTCATCCGATCCTCCTTTCTGAATGAGTTGATCGAATAGCTTGGTGAATTGGTCCGTGAACGACTTCACCTCCTCAGAGTTCTGATCAATGCTTGGGGCAGGGTAGTAGGCTCGAAGCAGTGGACATGGCTGATACGTCGGAGTATTCGCCAAACTAGCCCCTGTCATGGACAGTACCAGAGTCGTCAAGACGGCCAAGGAGGTCGAAGAGTGCATTTCTATTTCGTTGGGTGGGAACAGTTGTGAGTTGAATGGCAAGAGGCATGACTTTCTTATCGGAGAAGCGCCTGTCTCTTATACAAATAACACCCTTTATTTTGACACTCGAGATGTTCAAAATTTCAAACTGATGCCGTGTACGGACACGGGGACTGATCTTTGGTGTCGGCCTCAACGGAGCCACGCGCCATTGACTGAAAGCCAACCACACAATAGCAATACAGCCACAAGTATGCGAGTAACCTTGAGGGTCAACAATTCAGAGTACTTCCATGTTGGATTCAAAGGATCTAGCATCGATATCTGAGACCTTGACTTGCGAAGCGAAATTCCGTATCCGTGTCCGTGTCCGGGTCCGCCAGCCCGCTTGAAGGATTCTCACTAAAACTGAGCACTGCCCCCATGATCACTCCCCATTGCGTAGTTCCAGCTCTTGAACGGTATGAAAGTGTCGTTTACGAATGCAAGAGAATCTACAGGGAAATCGGCGTTCGAGGTCATCGCAGCATTTTCGGGTAGTGTGAAATCTGTGTATGCCATGGCGTTGCTTGCTGAAGCTATGGCTGGTTGCGAGAACACTGACGGCGCGACGGAATAATCAAACCCAACTGATTGAGTCGACAGGTTGGAGGTCGGTGTTCCAAGGCTCGAGAGAGACCTTGTCGTGGGGACGTTGAGTCCTTGAGGCGAGACACCATGCTGACTTGTGAAAAGCTTTTGTTGATCTAGATACCATTTTTCAACACGCTTCGTGCGTATGAGAAAATGGTAGAAAGAATCTCGATCACCTCTGTCGTCCACGTCTGGCGACGTCGCAGACTCAAGTCTAAGCACAACCTGTCGAATGGTGTGACCAATGTCGGAGAACTGTCGAAGATGTTCTGTCATGAAGCTTATCCTTGGGTCCGCTACTTGAAGGTCTAGGCGGGCTGCCAGAGTATTTCCGCAGTGTAGCATGACCCAAACAATATTAGGGAAGTACACCTCCTGGCCTGGAGGGGTATGAAGGAGGATGCTGACGAGGGATTTTGCGGAGACAATGCTCTCCGATAATCCCTGAATTAGTCGCTGTGACGAGGGATTCTGCGGCTTATGAAGAGCGAAAGGCGCGTCGGGAAGCGAGAGCTGGTTGAGGCACAACTGGATCGTATGCATTTGGGGTACCAAAATTGCTACGCAAGTTTGTTAGCGATGGGACCTTTAGGGCAATCGTCGAAATAACAGTACTTACGACAGTCTCCTAGAGGGAACGACAAGTTATTCTTGAAAAGGTCTATCCTTTCTTTAGCATCTGAAACGGCCGCCTGTATTTGCATTGGATCTAGCGTTGACTCGTTTTTCACGATGTCATCGATGTCTTCAGCGACCCGCTGAAGGCGAATGATGTAAGGTAGGTACTGGTCCGATGGGTACTCAGCTACTTCGGCGAGCCGATCAGCAGTCTCCGTCATATATGTTGTAAGGGTAACGATGCGGAGCTTTTGGAGAACAATGCTCGAACTTTGGATTAGGAAGGTTAGCACTGAGTCTAGCAGTAATGATTTTGATAACCAACCAAGATGAGAGATAGTATGTTCCGAGGAAAGCCCTCTGTTCATCAAGAGACTCAACGTAATGCTGGGCCGTTCCCATCCGCTCCGAGCGTTCAACATTCCATCCTTGCACGTTTTTTGGTCTATCCAGACGCAGATCCGAAACTATGCTGACAGCCAGATGTAGATGCTGGGTGTAGCGCTTGGGTCGCGGTTGAAAATGAGCCCTTCCGAGAGCATTAGTTTCATTATCGGATCACAATATTGGAGCGTGCAGGCGAGGCACTGCCTTACCAGGCAAGATGGACAAGGAGACCTTGGAGTATGTGTAGAGAGGTAAAGTCGCCCTCAATTAGACGAGCGGCGATTAGTTCATTGAACATCTGGCCTAGAGCCCGCTGAAGACGAACGTCATCGTGGGATGCTGCGGCCATCAGCGCCAGACATAGGGCTGGCTTGGTCTGCTTCAAGGTGTTCACATTCTCGTCGGCGGGAATTATGACAAACGGAAAGTGAGAAGTGAGCTTTGTGCGGAATCGATCGAGCAGCTCTTGGCCCTGCTCTACCGTGAGCTGGCCGGCATCGAACGGATCATGTCCCTCAAGCCTCGGCCTTGGAAGACCGGAACTGGCAGTGGCTGGAGGAGGGCTCCGGCTGTGGTTAGATGAAGACGCGGCAGGACTCTCGGCGGGCGGCGGGGGGGCCGATTGATCGGGGACATGAAGTAGCTTGTTCGACCTTCTTTTGGTTCAGTCTCGGAGCCGGGATACGGAAAACTGGGGACAACTACCTTGCACGGGACCCCGGGGGTTTACGGCCACGGGCCGGTGCATACGAGCATTCTTTGCCCAGCCGGAGGCATCTATCGCAGATGACCGAGTCCTGCGTTCGATCGCATTTGATTTTGGCATGAGCACATGTGCGACACGTCTTCAAAAGCGGGGTTGGGCTGCGCTGACGGGACTCCATGGTACTGGGCGCAGCAATGCGTGATAGCCGATGTACAGTCGTAACAAGGCATGGAATCGGCGAATGGGCGGTGGCTCGTCAAGCGCCAGAGTGTTCGAGGCGGCGCATCCGTACCTTACCTACGGACACGGAATGAAAGGACCAAAGTTCTTTGGGACGGACAGACACGGAGGGAAAGGAGGTTAAACGCAGGACAACAGGCAGAAAGATTAACCTGCTCTCAGCGAGATTACGAACGGGTAAACGGGCGCGGGCAATGGGACGCGCCCGTGAACGCCGCCGACGCAGTATTAATGCTTGATCCGATACCTAAGGACTTCAGTGGCTTAGATGTTGGAACTAATGCCGAAGGAGGCAGACTAACGTGTCGCTAAATGAGTTTGATCCACCATTTCAGGGCCGATCACCTCCTGTGGTCAGACGGCCTGGAGCTGAAGACCCCTGGAATTCAGACTCTCGTGTTGCATCAAGCTTCCTTCGGTGCTTCGTTAACGGTGGGCGCTTTTCAACGCGCCAAATGCCGATAAGCTTCCATGTCGTTACTCCAGATTTCCATGTTGCACTACCTACCTAGGCAGCCAGATGAGTGACGGATCTTGTTCTATGCACACAACCTGACGACGGGGATAGAAATTCATATAGGCCTCAGTGGGTTTTTTTTTTGTTTTCCCCAAGGATTGTAGCAGCGTCAGCTTGTCGATTTTTGACCGAACAAGCACTTGACTCTTCGGACCATATTGAAAAAAATCCCAAGAAGAATGAACAGATCACATGTACGGAAAGAGTTTTGAGGTTGCTGCCAAGAATGCATGGTCATAGTTTCTCGCCAATTACCGACAGCGCTCTCGATGGTCGCTTCCCTTCTGATCTACTAGCTCTTCTGCTGTCACTACAGTGAGCTACTCAGGAAAAAATAGCTTCTTCCTATTTTCATTGAGCCCCTCAGATAAGCACGGAGGCAGCAAGTTTCCAAGTAGAAGTTTTCAATGTGGCGTAATCATTGCGGCTGAGGTCCAACACCACTAGGAATCCATGCAGCTGAGATCGAAAACAGCCCAGTTCAGCATAGTGATAAAGCTGTTACCCCGCTTCAAATACCATAACAGTTCCGGTTTACTTGCCAAATATTTGACCATTCTTAGTCTTCTAGCCAGAATCGTCGACTGAAAACACGCAAGCAATCACGGAACACTACCCGATGGCATCAATCCCCTACACGGACCTCGACCCCAAGAAAAGGGAAATAAGGCTCTTGGAAGTTGTAAGCGAGCCTGGAAACACTCGGATTTCGTACAGATTGCATACTGTATCCTTGGATGACAACCCGTACTTCATTGCCTTGTCCTATGTCTGGGGTGACCACCTCGTGACTGAAAACATCAACATCGATGGCCTCCAGACACCGGTTACAGTCAATCTCGCGAGCGCTCTGAAACATGTCGAAAAGCACTGGCTAGACATCCAAAGTGAGAAAAACACCGGTCGCGATGCTGTCGAGTTCCGAATCTGGGCGGATGCAATTTGCATCAATCAGCAGAACCTACCGGAGAAGTCGGAACAGGTTCCGTTGATGAAAGATATCTATTCAAAAGCAGATCTTGTGTTTGCGTGGTTATCTTCTGAAGACGGAGAAATCTCGACAAGCTTGGAGATGCTGGAAACTGCATTCTACCTCGTCAAGATCCTTGTCCACATCAACTCCGGACAGCAACTAGTTATTACTGATGACGAATGGGCCGAAACCACTCACACCCTGAATCATTCTATCAACTGGGCTGAAATGGTCCCTCTGGCCTTGGGGCGATTTGGGTATCCTAGCAAAGAAGAGCGGGAGATCTGTCCAGCCTCCAGTTGCTGGACATCTTTGAAAAAGCTGGCAGACCTGTCCTATTGGTCCCGTGTCTGGATATTACAGGAGCTGATATTGCCGAAGTCTCTCTATTTCGCCTGTCCATCGCGATCTCTCGACCACTGCAAAGCAATAATGGCTGTGACTGGTATCATGGAAGTTTTGGGGGCTATACAGCGCGGTCGAGCGCGCGATGTGGGTGCTCTAGGCCGCTCCAGAGCGTCGATAATTCGTTCACAGCTATTCCTCGTTCAATGGCGCCTCAATCTCAGACAAGCATTCCATCTGCGAGGTTACGAAGATTCTTGCCTATATCATGTGCTCAGTTCCACCCTGTTTGGAACCATCAGAGCAACCAATCCTAGAGATTATATCTATGGGGTGTTGGCAATCACAAATTTCGATATTACACCAGATTACCGCGCCTCCATACGAAAAGTCTATTTGGACTACGCAAGAGAATTAGTCAACCGCTGGGGCACTCTTCGGCAACCACCAGATCGATCGAACGGACGCCTCTTTTTCTTGTCACTTTGCGCAGCTGGAGTCCAGAGAAATGGGGATCTTCCTACTTGGGTCCCGGCGTTCAATGACCTACGCCCCAAGGGGTGGTTCATGAACGTCAGGACTTCATCTAGTCTCGCGTTTCGGGATGTCGCTGAGCTGTGCCAGGCTTCAGAAGTCCGCATTTCCGATGCCAGTCTATGGGTGGCAGGTGTAAAAGCGCAGAAGATCACATACCAGTACCACAAGCCACTTGGGCCGGATTTCTGGACCAAAGACCTGCTGGACTGCTTCGAGACTTTGCTGGCTAGGCGAAACTCGACATATGTCACCGGAAAGCCGCTGGTGGACGTCATCTGCTGCACTCTGTTGCAGAGACTGTATAGTGAATATGATCTTCGACGGATTGCATCGCTCTTTCTCTACTTCTACAAATGGGTACCGTCTGGCAAGGTTGGGGAGGAGCTAAGGCAGGCTATGGAGGAACTTGATGAAATGGAAATGAGAGACAACATGGAAGCGATGCTGTCCGAATGGACTCCCATCATGAGCGAGAATTCCGGTTGTCGTTTGTTCGGGACTGATGACTACATTGGGATAGCTGGAGGCGATGTTCAAAATGACGATGTCGTCTGTGTGTTGAAAGACTGCGACAGCCCAATTATTTTGAGGCCCGAGGGAGACCACTTTCTTTTTGTAAGCCCTTGCTTCATGCTGGGACTCATGAAGGGAGAGGTATCTGAAATGCTGCGCTCTCAGATGGCAGAAGTCGAGACCTTTGAGATTCGCTAGGAACACATGGTTCATATCATGAGTTGAGGTAGTACATTGTCTAGCCCTGGTAAATGAGATACCTTCAACTATCCTCTTCATGTATATTTCTTCCAAAGAACATACGAATCTTTTGCTTTCAGCCAGCTGTTGTTACGTTTCGTCGTCCCAAAGTTGATAATCGCTGAAGTAGTGCTCATGAATCCTCTTCGCGTAGTCAAGTAGCACTGGGTAGCTTCGAATGACTCTTTGAGTATCCGGAGCTCTGAGAGGTGAAGTCAGCGAACGAGGTTTTGTAGGCCGACGACTATCAATAGCAGAGAACCTGATCACAAGAGAGGACTAAAGAACTTACGCGTTGCATACAAGGCCGGAAGCAATGAAGCCAAACACAGTCGCATCGGCCTCTGAAGGTTCTGAACCGCCCAATATCCAGAATGGCGCATTCGGGCTAGGAACTGTGAGCCGTGCCTCGGCTAACAATGCATTGACATTGTCCCAGACATCATGCCGAAAGCTGGCAACTTCGGCACTCGTAAACCTCCCAGTGCCTTGTCCGTACAGCGTTCGAGTTAGACCACGATAGGCCAGCAGCCAGCGCCTCCACAAGGGCAATCAAAGCAATTTTGACCCCCATACTTGTTAACTTGGCTCTTTTTTTTGGTGTTTTTGATTACTTAGCTAACTTGCAAATAAAACAAATCAATTACTATATAAAATGACGTCATATAGACTACTTAATTGGGTAATTTTAAGGATATCTACAGCCTTATAAGCCCTCTCGTAGGCCCTTAGAGGGCCCCTTTAGAGAGAGGGCCCTTTAGAAGGCCCCTTACAGGGCTCTTTAGAGGGACCCTTAACCCCCCCCCCCCCCCTAAGGGGGCCCCTCACGTATGCCCTCACGTATGCCTATGGGCTGGGCATACCTATAAGTGGGGCTATAGCCTATATAAGGCCTCCTATTGGCTAGAGTATAAGACATCAAATATTTCAATTCAATCGAGGGGTGTCGGATTGATCGATTGGGTAGTGGCGATGGCCTCACTTTGCTTGGTTAGGTTATTTGCGTTGTCAATTTACTTGCCCTTGTGGAGGCGCTGCCAGCAGCCCAATCAGAGGTTGAATGGGCCAAGGAATTGCGCCCATCACCCCGGATCTCATCGTCTCGTAGTTGTCGTGCCACCGCTCCATACCCTTTCATGCCATGTTAGACATTTTTCGGAAACGACATACAATATTGAATATGCCTACTTGATAAAAGTACAATTTCTCCTCAAACAAAGCCCTTAGAGCCATGTCATGAGCTCTTGCAGCAGGTGGTAGTGACTCGTTCAGGTCTTCACAGATATTGTTATCCACAAGATGCTGGATAATAAGAGAAGAGTCACCCAGTGCTAAAGGTCTATCTTGCCCGTTCGGAGTGATTTCGATGTATGGGATCTTGCCCCGAGGCGCCTGGGACATGGAACCTTGGTCGAGACGGCACTTAAGCCTCGCAAAGCGAAGTCTTGCTTCGAGTTTTGTAACGAAGGGCGACCAGACGTAAGAAGTCGAAACGGGAAATCCGCGATACAACACGAGGTCGGGCAATTTCTTCTTAGATGCGTCCATTCTTGACAATATGCGCACAACGTAGGGAAAGTCGAATAATACCACGATTCTCTGGCTGTTCCGAATAACAAACAAGGAATTTCTCAACCATTATATAGAATTCTATGAACATACTGTTGCACTTAAAAACTGTCGCTGTTTGATAAGTACCTGTTCCGTTGCACTGAAAACGCCCGGTCGCTGCCTAATTTAGTTGGAGCCAGGGCTCATGGGTGAGAGTGAGGTGACGGCCGGACTACGGACACAAGCCGCCCCGTCCTCCACAGAATCCCGCCCTGTTTAGGCTTCCTCGGCGGCCTGTGTTTACCCACAAAATGCCGATTTGGACACCGCGCGGCGCGGAGCACGGTAGCATCCGAGAAAAGTCCCCGGCGTAAGAGTCATAGCAGCATCCTTTTATGTTGATCTGCCACCAGCTGATAAACGATTTCAATCGGCCAAGGAATCTATCTATCAGGCCGACACTGTCTGAAAGTCCATGCACTTAGCTAGGCAGGATTTCCGCCTAGGTGCATACCGCCAACAAAGATTGCCGCCTGTTAACGTAGAGCCTGTCAGCAAAAGCGCACGCGATGAACATCCCAAAGAAGATTTCTCAAATACCTTGAGTATGCCTTGGCTCCGCTGGCTGCGAAAGAAGAAGCAAGATAACGCAGCATCTGACGATGTTGTGATTGAAGGGCTGTTCCCCTGGCTTCCGTCAGCCTCACATGGCCCACGGAGCACGCCATCGCAACAAGAATGTTGGCTATTCAGCCAACCAGCCGAGTTGCGTCGAAAGATATTAGAAGAGGCTTTTGGGAACTGTACAATACACATTGATCTTCGACTGCAGCCGATATCTCGAATGCCATGCCGCACCCTCAGCTCTCCACACGGAGGCGATGCCCCACTCGTCGAAGAAGAGGGTAATCGGCCGGCTGCCAGGTCCAAGACTTGGAAGTGGTACGGGTGCGTTTGTCACCGTAACAAGCCACCACAACCGAGGCTGGCACAGCAAACAAGTCTCTATTTGGACAGATGTCTGTACGGAGAAGGTATTTGCGATGCGTGGCCCGGCGAAGCTCCTGGCAAGTGTTGTATTGGTATGATGGGTATCATGCTATCATGCAAGCAGGCGTGAGTCATTCCCCACACAACAGTTGACTTCTCAGAAACTCATGCGTTCATTAGTCACGATGAGGTTTTGGGCGTCATTTACTCAACCAATACGATTCACATTGCAAGTGAGCCCCTGGTGCAGGCTTTGTTACAGAGAGGTTTGCGCGATTCTCCACGGGTAATGGGGCCAAGTATTGGTCTCGTGACTTCTCTGGAAATCAAATGGAGATTTGACCTTTTCAGCGACAGCATAGACCGTGTATATACTGAATACAGGCGAAGATTTACCCAATCCCTGCAGCTTCTTCCGCAGGCTTTTCCCGGGCTGTCAAGACTCACCTTAGCGTTCGAGGATCGCCTTTACTACAAGCGTTTGAGACCATCAGACAATATGGCAGAGGTAGATGCATACTACTCAAGCCTCTCTTGTCAGCTGCGACAAGCCTCAAGCTTAAAAGCTTCGATGTCGAAGTTCCGCATTCCCTTTTCGACGAGTTTCGGCTGGTCGGGGACATGGAGTGTGGCGAAGTTCCTGAGGGTAGCAAATGGAACTATTGGGATGAATGGATTCGTTGCCCTTTCATAAAAGAGAGGGATAATGATGCAAATTATCAGATTAAGCGTGGCGAAATGAGCAACATCGGCTGGTATACGGACGGTAGATGCTTTTTGTTCTCCAATTTACTCCATGAATTCTAGTAGACAATGATCTATCATCCTCCCAGGGGGAATGTTAATTGTGGTTTGAATTATCCATGATGCTGAATATGAAGCTGGAGTCTAGTTAACACGCTTGCTGTGATGATTTTGGAAGCAAATCGATCCCTTCGCGCGCCTTCGCGAAATCAGATGAGAAAGTCTAGCTTGTTATCGGGCCCCTTATTTTTGACGCCTTCTCCCGGTTTCCACTCTCAAAAGAAAAATGATAACCAGACTATTGCCCATTTCCAGCTGCCTCCACTGTTTGAAAGTGGACGCAACTGTGCAGCTGATGATTCTTTCGTAGATAGCAACCCGCGGGTGGAGTCAACAGACTCGTGAGAGTCTTTAAGCTTCCTGTATGCGTTTCTGTGAAACTTTGCCGAATCTTCAAAGTGTTAGCCACTTCTCAGTCGTTTGATCTTTGAGGTGAGATGTCATACGTGGAAGATACGATTGGGTCTTATTGAGTAAATTGGCAAACATCTCGACGATAAGCGGTATTCGTGAGGACTGGGAATGAGTGCTGGCGATTTCCCGTTTCTGGTCCGACTAGAAAACTTCTTCAGCCTGACACGGAACGATGAAGTTTAAATCGCACATACAGCGGGATGCAATTGTTCTTTGGTTTATGTTAAATTAAGGATGGGATGTACAAATGTCGCTGACATGTGTGAGCCTGGTGACGAGAAGCGATCGGGTCGAAGCCGAGTCATAACTTTGATATAGCCCACAGGTTTGGGGCTGAGCCAAGCGAGAATATGGACTGTGTATCCCAAAATAGTATGTTCAAGCATTTTAATTTCACTGAATGAGCCGCGTGGTTCCTAAGGAGATATCTGCCAACGAGGGCGGTGTCTGTCTGGGATTTCATGACAAACGAGGACCAGTGGAGCACTGGGGCTGATCATCCTGTGGGATGACACAGAATCCTTCCGAACAACTAGTCCTTACTCCAGGCAGCGATCAATCCCGCGCAGAATCGGAGACCCATGTTGACATGCCGACGTTGTCAGCGAAGGATTGAGCTAGTGTGAGGCAAGCAAGCTACGAGCGTGCCTCGCCTCGCCCCGCCCCTAGAGAGTCTAGATCAGGCAGATCCATGACATGGTTTTTTAAGAATTTCTAATGGAATGGCTTTTTTCTTCTAGATCGAGCCAGGGCAAGGAAGAGCATTATCAGATGGGGGGTGGGGGGTTACAGCCGGCGCGAAGTCAAAATAAAGCACCGAACCGCTGTACCCAGGACTTCAGCCAAAAGTATGTTAATCTTTGCAAGGATACCAGCCTGTGACGTTGCGGAGTAATTCGTAAAGTCAAAGGTTTTATCAACCTCCATCCTTTGCCGCATTCTTCATTCTCTAATACCCGTTTGTCTCATATTTTACCCCTTCTAATAAGTTTTCCAAGCTCAGTTAGAAATTTAATACGCGGCTAAGCTCCAGGCGGAGGAGCCTTCTTCTCATCGATCCTCTTTCGCCAGTTCGTACCCCAAAGCGCAACGGCCCAGACACACGCGGCCCCGAAGATCATAAATCCTGACGAGATAGTGCTGAACCATCCTACGCCAATGGTCTTGATCGCTGGAAGCACTACTGCTGATCCTGCGGCGCCAAACAGATATCTGACCATGAAGTTACCCGCGATCACTTCCGCACTCCTGCCTTGGATCACGTCCAAGCAGTACGTGTTTAGACTTGGGAAACAGAAGAGCTGTGCCACACCGCCGAGGAACATAAAGATGACGGGAACCGCAATGCCACCCACTCGCTCTTGGACCGACCATCCGTAAATCAGCATGCAGCCTGGCAACACAGCACCGATGAAGGGAATGCACGACCGCAGTCGATCCTCTGAAATTCGACGGCCTTGTCTCTGTGCAATCCATCGTCGTACGGTGTAGTCAGCATAGCGTCCACCAACAAGGGTACCGGCCAAATAGCCACAACCTGGAGCCAGGTAAAATAGGCCTGACTGCGCCGGCGAGGTAAGGGCGAATCGCGGGTTGAGGACGTATCGAATTGGCGTCAGCATGCCGTACATATTCCATACAAGGGAACCGCTGGAAATGGCCACGAGAATGAGGTTTGGAAACTTGAAAAGTCGGATAACACGGATAGGGTTTGTCATCTCCCAGAGGACACCGATTTTCTTGGCCGTAGGGAGCCCCTCCAGGCCCTCTTTCTTCAGCTTTGCTAGAGTCTCTGGCATGAAAAAGGCAGCGCCAACCATACCGACGCCTGCCAGCGCCGTTTGAAGCCAGAAGATGGCGCGCCATGACGTGTAAGTCACGATGATACCTCCGAGGACGGGTCCGATGGTGGGGCCGATCAGAGTCCCGGACAGGAACCACCCCATAGCGGTGGCGCGCGTTGTGGGATGGTACATATCACCGATAACAGCGGGCCCAGTGACCAGGAATGAAGTTCCCGCAAAGGAGGTGAGCATACGGAACACGAAAAACGCAGCCACATTTGGGCTCAGAGCTGTGCCGATAGAGCAGGCTAAGAAAAGCGTAGACGTAACCGTACAGGTCTGGATTGTTGTTCAGTCACATTACAGAAAAGGGGGAGGCCGGAGAAGTGGATGTTGGGAAGGGTTGGGTCTCGACGTCTTGCTTACCCATTTGCGCCCATAAACCTGACTAAGAGGACCCCAAAAGCATGGGCTGATCGCCATGAAAACGAGATACAACGCATTGCTAAGACTGATGATGCTTCCCGAGGTTCTGTACTCTGCGGCGACTTCGGGAAGAGCCGATAAGACGGCGGTACTGGAGATCGGGGAGAGAAGACCACACCACGAAATGACGGCGACGGTAATACGCTTGCGCCGTGCGGAGAAGCGGTTGTACGCTTCATAAGGCACCTCTGTGCGAGAGGAGATGGGCACATCCGTGAAACTTACGGCTCCCGAGGGGACTTTGGATAGGTCTGCGCGCTCAGGGTCCTCTACGAGACGATTAGACGGCCGAGGTCACGACAAAAGGAGTCGCGGGTTTGCTTACCCGTGTTCGGATTTCTACGGTTCTCGGAAATAATATCTGCGTATTCCTCAACGTCATCGTTTCGTCGGTCGGAAGAGGTCCTCCTTGAGGAATCCTCAGGCTCTTGCACGCTTTTGTCGGAGTTCATCGTGGGCCATTGAGTATCAAAAACAGTCTGTTTCTATGACTATGATGGCCATTGAAGAAATTGCGTCAAAGATCAAACCTGAATGGAGCTGGCTGCCGCAGGGGACGGATACGGTGCCACTAATATGACACCGATATCCGTGACTAACCCATTGCCGTCAGGGGCCGATTCGGCAGAACCCGACTCTTGGCTCCGGACATCGGGCGAGTTGTGCAAGTTGGGCCTCTCGGAAGGATGCATAGCTGCGGGTGGAGGCATGGGATCCTCCGGCCCCGCAGAATTCGAGTCAGTTCCCGACGGCAAGACGGTGGCTGTCCGAGAAATCCAAAAAGCTATTTGTCGATGTTCGTGGAGGACGTTCTAGAACGATCAACAAATATGGATGTCCAATCATGCATTCTAAGTCTGTCGCCGACGTTGGGTTTCAACCAGCGGTGTACATGTCACAAATGCGAACGAAACAAAACTGGCATAATTGTCGGATGACCGATCAACGATGGTGTTTCGCTCCGAGGCCGGACCATTTCTGTAACCGAACTGGAACTTTTGACCCATCAAGTTGGCAATTCGTTGCCGGAGAGGCAAGTTCTCAAGCCGTCGGAACCAGGGTGTCTTATCTGTCGGCTATCCGAAAACAGGTGGTCAAAGGCTGTCTTTCGCCAATAACTTAGCCGATTTAAATGGGCTTCTTCTTATTGCCGGCGTAGGCCCGGCTTCTCGAAGGCGCTTGAATAAGGGTCTGATCGAGCCGGTCAAAAGCGCCCTGAGCGATGCCCAACCTTGAAGAGACGAATTTTCTTGAATCACTTGTCGGATGCTCCGTTGGGCTATTTCTGCGCTGAGGCGTTGAGACCTGAAGGCGCCTTACAACCCCCACCAAACGTGCCGTGCCGGTCAACACTGACACCTTTACAGGCGAGAACTGGGCATCGCAATCTCGCAATTTGAGTCTCTATTGCGATACTCGTCTGAAGCGATGCTGTGAACACATTCATTGGTTCGTCTAAACAAAAGTTGTCTAATAACGCAGGAGAGTTCGAGCGGTTCGAGCTGGAGAGGCCCGTGCTAGAGCCGAGTACTCCGAATCATACAGTAACTTCGGCCGAGTAGTTTGAAGGAGACCGGCCTACTCACGGCGCCGGCCGGTGTGGATTCAACGGCCGATCCGGTGGCTCGTCGTCGAAAATCGGTATCAATATCAAGCTCGGGGGCGGGTCAGAACGGGATGGCGTGCTCGACAAGCGAGCCTGAGACCCATCTACAGGATCTTTCACGGCCGTATCATCGGCCCAGTAGACATGGAGCTCTTACCGACCGGGCCCGCCTGAGCTCGCCGCCCTCGTGGTAGCGTTCCGGGTCGGCTCTTTGCACCATTGACGGGGCTCTTGATCATCTACTTGCTTCACGTTGTACTCAACATCGAACGTTTAAGAGCCAAAGCGGCGGCACAGCTTGATGAAGCTCCACATGCCGGGCGGGAATGGTCGCCAGCTCAGTATTTAGCTGGTCAGCAATGGTCCCTAATCTTAGCCCAGCGAGACCAACAGTACCGATCATGCATGAGCACATCGGGTTTCCAAGCCTCAGTGAAGCTGCCCAGGCTCCGAAGCATGCAATCCTGCTCAAGAAAAGCACGCTACCAACAAGTTTCTCATTTCTTCAGCAATGTCACGCGGCTGAAGATGCAGGATTCGCCTTTTTGGGCAGACCGAGGCAATAGCGCCATCTCGACCTGCATAGGGTGCCTGTCATCAGCTTCTTGGCAGAATCCCCACGTGCTCGATCGGCTGGCCAGAGGCTATTCTTGGAATCCAGCTTTCTTCCACCATATTTTGATGTTCCTTATGTGTTGTTCTCTTGACATGTCGACACTCCTCTCTTCTGCATGCTGCGTCTGCTTATGTTTGCTCTAATTGGCAACCTGCGACTCAGTTGTCCCAAGCGTTCGGACCCGTGCGACAACGCTTCATCTTGAAGTCTATCAACCACGTTGCGTCAAGGCTGATCCGTCTTTCCGGGGAAACACAACTCATTTATCGGCCGTCTGCCACCCCCACTCGTCTGAGTCGGTCGATTACTGCATCCAAGTCATCATTGCAATGGCGGTCGACGCAGAGGAGCTGATCATCGCGCCGTTTCAAGAAGTTGTGGATAGGAGCAAGGAGGCAATAGAGAACGCCGAAAAAGCACAGAGCGACAGTTCGGAGTTAGCTGTCCAAATGATGAAATCTGCGCAAATGGTTTTCAGGGAAGGCGAGCGGGCACTTAAGCGTGTGCAACCGCTCTGGGACAGTCAAGTTGATAAACACGGCGATTCTTTCAAGGATGCGGTTGGAGACAACGGCGAGTACTTAAGCCTGCTATAATTGACACAGCTAACCTGGCGAAGATGAGCTTGCGGGAAAACGCAGGTTGCTGGAGGAACTTCTGTATGATTTCGAGGACTTCATGGAAGCAGACACCTTCGATGCGTCAAAATATGGCGAGATTCAGGCTGCGACGAGATCATTTGCGCTAGATGTGCTGGACTTCATCAAGAGGATTAAGATTGAGAACAAGACACCGACAACTCCAGTGCACGCCTTTCCACCGTTGCCACCTTTACCACCTTTGCCCCCGAACATCCAAATCCCAAGACAGGTATCACAGCCTCTTCAGCCATCTCAATCCCGCAGCGGTACTTCGACCAATACCAGTTCTTCGCCATATCCTGTTCCGGGAAGACAACAAAAGTCTCTAGGCGCGCACAAGAGTGGTGTAAGAACTTCGCATGGCTCGTCCGACAGCACCACACTTCGCAGAACCCCTTCATCAGCAAAGTCTGTGGCCTCGGATGCCCGGTCCTCGAGACACATTTATGAGGCAACCATTGCTCAGGTTGTACCAGCTCGACGAGAGGAGCAACGGGCTTCTTCTCCCGATGCCCTCGGCGACGAAGACGAACAGTTGGGTGTAGCTTCGCCAAACGAGTTCTCACAGCCTCGAACATCAGACTGGATCCAAGCGCAGGCTCCGGTGCCCAAACTGCGACATCCAATGCGGCAAAGTATCCCGGAGCACTCCGTTGCAACAAACACCACACCTATCGACGGCATGGTAGTCAGTCGTTTTAGTCGGTTTGGCCTTGATCACACAACGCCACAGAGCTCGGTCTTCGACCCCAATAGCCCGTCAACTACAAACAGAACGTCGGTGTACTCAGATTCTGCCACTCACTCGTCATCAAACGGGACATCGCCCAAGATTCCCATCAGCGAGATGAGGACGTCATCACTAGCGGCATTCCAGTTTGAACCTACTCCTCCACTTCCGCCACCTGGACATTTCAGTGATGGGTTGATGCTGGCCAATGAGCAAGCTGCAGCAGAAAGCATGCTTAGCGTTAAACGGGCATCTACGCTCATTAAAGAAGACGAATGCTTAATAGGACCAAAGAGCTCGTTTCACCAAGCCAAGGGCTTTTGCGACGGTGCTCAAGCTTTCCGGCGAGGGGGATACTGGCACGGTCTCAAGCAGACAATGGCATATGTCAGTACGACGCCGAACAACGTAGCGAAGCTAATTTGTATCAGGGAGAGCCGCTTCCGATCGGTCGCTGCTTGAATTGCGAATATTACCAAGTGTACAATGAGCTTAGCTTGGACAAAGAAGGAGACTGTAAGTTTCGAACATCCAGGATGTTGAATTGCTTCGCTAATCGTCAAACAAGCTCGCGCCAATTTCTTGAAATTCGGTCTGCTATACCGTATGCGATTTCTCATCAAGTCTCATATTTCAGCTCGAACAACATCAGAGATCCGATACGCATGTCTGTTCTGCACCCACGATGGGCATACCGTCCACGAGGGTGATGCCACCGTTTTCTTAAGCGCAGATCAACTTCTTAAACACCTCGCACGACACCCACAGCCACTACCCGAAGTTCCAGGCGTGACAGTCCTCTATGGCAAGATAGAGGGAGACCATCGTCAGATCGAGGACTATGACGTTCATTTCCCGTCTCCACCAGCTCCCAGCCTCTTTCCCGACATGAACTCGCTCTTCCAATTGCCAACAGCCACGGCCCTCAAGAGCCATGTTCAGCGATGGGGAGAAGTTTTGACGGACCCGGATGGTAACACAGACGTCCTAAAATTTATGGCTGGCGCAAAGATTGTGGGGATTGAGTTTCCGGACAAATGGGGCGGAAAGTGGTGTACGGGCTGGCACGATGGCACAAGAGGACCCTTTCCAGCAAAGCATGTGGAGATTGAAGGTCCAAAGCAGAACGAAATCTCTTTGCAATCGGCCGGCGCTGTGTCTTTGACGACGAGATGGAAATGGGATCCACCGGACAGCGCCAGAACGGGATGGCTGGTATTTGGGAAGAATGAGACGATCAAGAATGTTGGATGTGAGTCGCCCGTTGACGAATTCTAAGGATATATGTAGGAGCTGACAATACCTCATGCAGGGCTATACCAGGATCATTGGTGTTGGTCAGGTACCAATAGCAAAGGGAAGTTTGGGATATTCCCACGCTCACACATCAACCCACACTCTTTGAAAGAGGGTGTCGTATCGCCAACAACAAAACGTCCACAAGCTAGTGGGCCTATGAGACTGTTCAGCCGAAGACGGCAAAGCAGCACTGCCTCCTCCATGAGCGGCGACACGTGAGAAACGAGAGGTATTCGATATTTATGTGTCCATTCAAATAGCAGCAAGCATCGTGCCGTTGCATGGACTGCCCAGCTCCGAAAACTCTACGACAAAGTCTAAAGGTCCTGCCCATCGTTCAGGCCACCAGGTCTACCATTAGTTACTTCATAGTGAACAGATCGGTCATCAAATAAGGGCATGTCCGCGACATCGTGAGGCAAAGTTACAGTTTCAGAATAGACCATGACTTTGAGGGATGGAATCGTTTCTCTGGAAACTTGCTCTCCACGCGTCTAGGCCGAAGTTAGTGACTGAAGTGTGGAGACCTTGAATCTTGCAGAACTCACGTTGACAACCCTCCAATGGAGATTGCGAACCAAGAATGGAAGCACCATTTCGGGGGTCAAATCATCGATACGACAACCGTACAACTCTTGCTGACTGTCCCAGTACGTCAACAGAGCTGGTGTCAAAGCGATGGTGTCCATGTACTTGAAACCAGAAGCTTCTTGTTTTGCGCAATTAGCACAGCCACCATCGTCAATTGCGGCTCTTGCGCTGGCGAAGATCCCACTGAAGCCCGCGAGGTGTGGCTCAAGGACCCAGTCCTCTAGCCGCGGACTGAAGTCTCCGAGAAAGAAGTATATCATAAAGGACCCATCAAGGCAGAATCTACGAAGAGCATCAAATGAGCTGGCATTATCCTACTGCGCTTTGGCTGGAAAGTAGACTTCAATTTCACTTACTTGTCCACGCTGAACGTCACGTTCCACTGTGTCATCTTGTGATTGGTAATTAAATCGCCAAGGTGACCATAGCAGTGCTTGTAGCCAATATGCTGCGCCGGGAGTGCAGACGAGATTACATTTTGCTTGAGTTGCTGAGGCGTGAATTTAGAGGGGAGGAATTCTCGGACGGGAGTTGCTGGCTTTTCCGGTCTCACGAGCTTCTTGGGCGACATCGACTTGGCTATCGTTGTTGCTCTTGCGAGGATTCTCCGAGGTCGTGACATTGACTTGGCGACAACTGCAGGAGTGACTGCTATTTCTCGAGGAGAAGTGGCCATGGATCCAATGAAGGCTTGTCCGGCCCTCAACGCTTTGGTTCCATCGATCAAGACCTTGGCTGGGAAGGACGGAATTGGTTGAACGATTTGACGCTTGAGCTGCGTACGCGCCCCTTCGTCTGCCGGCTGGAGGGTTCTTGGAGCCAGCCATCCCAGCTGGGTGTTTGCCCAGGCTGTTAGGGATCTGACTGGGTCCGAAGATTTGCGTGCTGCAGCTGTCTGTGGATAGTCGTATCCAAGATCCAAATGATTTCGACAGTCATTGGAGGTCCACCAGATGGGTTTCGCGTCGGTTGTGAGGCCTTTGCGGAAAGGAGCTAGAGGGGTTCTTGGAGTTTCTAGGAGACTACCAGGCTCTACAAAATTGCCTTCTGGGACTTCCAGAGACGTCCACCACGAGACGGACTCGGCGTCGCGGGAATGGATGCCCTGCCATATGGCGAGAAGACGGTCGACATTGCTTGAATTTGTTAGTTTTATGCTTGTAGTTGTGTTAACAGGCACTTACCAATGATGGAGCCAGAAGCTGGGGTCAAAGCTACCAATAGTGTCAATGCTTTGTCCATCAAAACACTGATACGATGAACTTACCCAGCGAATGCAGGGGTTCCCATATGTCCACTTGCATTGCGAGGACCTGTAGCTATCTGACCGTGAATGTTGTCATGGAACCCTTCCAAAGAGTTTGCATTGTAGACGACCTCATTCGGATCTCGAACTCTTGGATCATAGTGGTTTGACATTTGTACCCAGCTCTGCCTGTCAAACATAACGCGCCAGATACCAGCGGGCGTCTGGCTGGAGAGGCCGTTGTCGGGGTTGTACACATTATCGAATGCCCTGATCACATAGCTGTGGTCGGCTGATTGAGTATTCGCGTTCAAACCGCGGATGGTGCGCTCTTTTGCAGCTGGAATTCGGCTGTACGTTGACCAGTCGAAGCCTCCTTTCTTGTCTACCGGAAAGTTGAATTGGTAAAGGGGATTTGTCATGGGTACCCATCTAGTTGGATTTTCGGGCCGTCGGACTTGAATCTGAGGCAGCGTGAAGATTATCGGGATGCCGTAGGTGTAAACATCTCCACCACTGGCCTTCTGGCGTGGGAGGAAGGGATCAAAGTAGGGGATTCGAAACCGGTCGAGAGCACTCTGTGCTCGCAGGCGAGGCGCGATTTCAGCGGCATGAAGGTAAAGCGCTTGCTACAGACTGTCAAAAAGTGCTTTGGAAAACAACGTCAGGGGCCCTACCTCAAATTGTGCCAGATACACGCGATGCCATGTTGGAAAGATAACTGAGCCATGCGAGCAGTATCCCTTTTGAGAATCTGTCCGACCAGGTGCTGAGCCAAAGTTCACCGAGCCAACACGGTCCCATGCTCGCCAAGGCTGGCCGTGGATGCCAGAGATCTCATAGTACGAGAAGGCAGTTTCGGAAATGCTCTTGCTCATGAAAGCTTCCAAAGCAAGAAAGTAAAGATTCGCAAGCTCAACATCCTGTATGAAGTCGTCAATCTCGAGCCGAAGCGGTCTTTCTGGTGATCTCGGGATCACGCCGACAGTAAGGCCTCTATCTTGGGCAGCTTTGAGGGCATTCACGTCAACAGACATTGTGAATAGTGTTACTCAATTGTTGTCTGGGGCAAAATCAAGAATCTTCAGTTATTCGTACAACCAAGTAAGCACGCGGTCTTAAGACAAAACAGTGAGTCTTAAGTCATCAACCATCAGTGTTTGAATCAGTCGACCGTCTCCAGTAGGTCTCCTTGGGCCTCAAATTACGAGAAAACACTCCGTGCGCTTCGCGTCACGGTATGACCACATCATTCCGCAACTTTCGTCTTGTGCGAAGGACTGGCGCAACAAAATGGTTGTCACTTAGACGTATAGACGCACACTCGATCTGTTCTATGTGTGCAGCGAAAGTTGCCAAGATGATGTTGGCGCAAACGGCTTGATCTGTTATTGGACTGTCATCCGCTTAGTCCAAAGGAGTGGCGTAAGCGGTCCTCGACACCGCCCTATTTCTTAACTTCCATAGTCACCTGGCCTACGTGCGGAGAGACCGTTGACTTTTGAGAAGCTAGCAGGATTGATGGAGGTCAGCAAAAGGACGGGTTCTCCTGGCTTCATGAAAAGCGGGAAGAAGGAATCTAGTCAGCCAGACGAGCGATCAGTCACACGTGTCTCGCTAAGACTTTCAAGGTTTGCTGTAGTGTAGCCTAGACATGATCCGAGACTGAAGCTTTGTGACGCTGGGGACCGCATCACAGCTGAGAAAGAGCATCCAACTGATGGCCACCTAAGCGCGAAAACAATCCAATCCAGTGTCAATGATTGAAATTCTCACATGAGATGCAGGGAGCCCACGCGCAAGCTTGCGCAACGCTGTTAATTGGGGAGACAAAAAAAAAAAAAGCGATGTTGATTGAGAACTCAAGTGCATTTGAACCTGAACCAAATGTGAAGTCACCAGCCAAAATTCGCATCAGACAGGAACCGACCATTTGCAACTTCAAGTACAATTTGTTAGCAAATTGAAATCACTGTGTTTGATCTAATTTATGTCGGGAAGCTAGTCTCAGCCTGGGGCGCACAACGGTTGGCTTGGCGCTGCAAGCCTAGAAGCTTTCTTTTGGCCAGCAATGTGTGTTACCAATGGGCGAATGAGCCTGTGGAATCGCCTTGAATAATAAAACCAGAACCTTCTGATGCGATTGTCTGATGGGCCCTAATGACTTGGCATACGGATTGGCTGTTGGATCCTTCAGATGACCAGTCATCTGCAAAGAGCAGCCGAGGACCCCCATGATCTCGCGAGTATCACTGTGGAGTTGAGCATGCCGCTTTCTTTCTTTTGAAATCGCACACAAGCTGCACATGAAGAAAGGACATAAAATTAGATCATTCAAGATGCGCCCGGACGAGTCGGTTTTTGACACGCAGTTGATCGGTCGTAGATCAGCTACGAGGTGATCATCCCCCGGAAACATGGACATTAGAGAAAACACATTTTGGACCGCGAACCTTGCATGCAGGTTGAACACAATATAATTATTGAAAGTCAATCAACTCAAAGGAAACCAAATTCCTCGGATGGCACAGACAAAAATCTCCGTGCCGTGATGCCTGTGCTTGACTTGTCAGTCAACCTTCAAGCTCGCCGATCATCATTACCGATAAAAGGCTCTTCAAAAAACTCGGAATCCACGGACGCTAAGATAAGCCTCTCGCCTCCAGTTCTTCCTCAGCCTTATCGCTGCATGGGCATTAATGAACAGCAGTGTATCTGTGCTGAAGGACAATTCGCAGTGCATCACTGAAGCTTCGAGGATCCACACGCAAGGAAGAAAGCTCACTCATTAAAGTCAATAGTGTTCACAAGTTTTTGACGCCGAAGGATGCACACCTGTCTGTCGATCGTACTTTGCCGTTTTCTTTCGAACTATCCAGACCGAATTTTGCTCTCGTATTGATCGCGATCTACACTCGCCCTTTCCCCAGGTGAACCGACGCGATTCCGTCGAGTCGCGGTTGGGGTGCCATGCCTGATTGGCATAATCCCAGCTCGGAACCCGGCCGTCAATCCCAATTGGGCATGTCAACAAACGCCATGACAGCAGGTTAAGGCGAGTGCTCAGGGGAACGGCAGGGTTGTGCCGCATAAGAGTCTCGAATTAGGTGCCTTCATTCGATATCCATAATTACGAGCTCAATTCGATAGTGGGGTTTCCCAGAGACTTTCGACAATTGGGTTAAGCGGGATGGGTCCGCTCATCTCCGCGTGCAGCTCCGCGTCCTGGAAGCATGACAGCGGGAAAGTTCACGTTTGGGGTCCGGTTTGGTTCCAGTGGGATGGGTTATTCGCAAATGTCGGTCGCGCGAATGCGGTTTCTCACGCAAGATCAGATATCGAGGCGCAAATAGATGGAGGGAGTCCAGTAGCAACGCTTCAACATTAGTCTATAAACCTGAATCAAGCTCAAGCCAGAGCGACGCCAGACATCCCATCCGTTTTTATATGGTATAATCCTCTCTATATCCCATTCCAATGCGCTTCGCCGGTGATCGCTACTTGTCTCGTTCGTAGCCGTGCGGTGTTGGTATCATATCGGTCAGAAATCACTCTAATAAAACAAGATCGCGCGGGCGAACTGCTTAGAAGAGCATGTAGGCGGCAAGGGCGACGGAGCCGAAGATGGCGAAGGTGGACTTGACGGCGGAAGCGCTGCTGGGAGCAGAGGTGGAGGTGCCAGAGGCAGCAGAGCCGGTAGCAGTGCCGGAGGCGGTGCCTGAAGCCGAAGCGTCAGTTCCGGTGGCCGAGGCGGTAGCAGTGCCGGTGGTCACGGTGGTCAGACCAGAGGCAGAGGCGGTCTTGGTGACGGAAGCAGAGCCAGTGGCCGAGCCGGAGGAAGACGCACCAGTGGCAGAGGCAGTAGCAGAGGCAGAGCCGGAGGCGCTGGCGGAGCCAGAAGCAGTGGCGGAAGCAGAAGCAGAGGCGGAAGAGGAGTCTAAGGACAATCAGTACAAGCTTCTCGGAAAGATGCGCCACGGCGCTTAAAGTTCATCACGTACCGTCAGAGTCAGAGGTGAGGCTGAACTCCTCAGACTGGGCCAGAATGCCAGAGTTCTGGGCGTCGGTGGAGACGAAGTTGATGCGGTACTTGTCGCCGGCGCTGAGCTTGGCGTCCTTCAGGTCGTACTTGCCATCGGAGGTCTGGACAGTGGCGATGGTGGTGGAAGTCTCGGGGTAGGCAGACTGGTTGACAACGACGATCTCGAAAGACTTGGGGTCGGTGTTGACAGAGTCCCACTTGATCTCGTTGGTCTCGGAGACATCCCACTCGGCGTTCTTCGCGGGGGAGGTGACCTTAATGGCCTCGGCGGCGGCCAGGAGGGAGGTGATAGCGAGAGCGGTCTTGGAGTACATCTTGTCGGTTGGTGGAAAATTAAGTAAGAGAGTGGTTTTTGGTTTTTGTGTGTTTTTTTGATATTAGAATAAGTACGGGTCTTTAGCGAGTGACTAGAACGAATGTTCGGAATTGGTGAATCGAGAAGAAGTTGATTGAACGAGCAGGACAAGACCAGAAGATTGAGCTCCGGTCGTCAAGCTTTATAAACAGACCATTTACAGAACACCCCTGTCGATGCTTTTGCGAGTCAGGCCTGATGCCCGCAGCCCCTAAGGGCTCCCCACCGCCCCATCTCGTATGGAAAACCGACCTTCAGAGAATTTTAGATTGCTCTTAAGCATGAACCGCGAGCCTGTCGTTTGATTCGGTCGCCAGTGACGTCGCTGTTCCCTGCCATAGGGCGCGCGAAGGATGCTGTCAACCTCCACTGGACCTCGTAATGAAGGACTCGTCGGCCGGTATTGCCGAGACGGCCACTCTGAGTTGCGCCAATAGAGTTCAGTGTCAACTGAAGATAACGAAGCTTGGTTTCGAGAAAAGTTTGGCTGCTTGTTTGCCGCGAGAAACGAGCATCAGCATCGGCGCTCTTCCACACGCGTCGCTGGGCTATCCAATCAAGGCCGTGTCATTTGCATCCCATCCCCATCACTTGAACATACGAGATGGAGCGCAGCAGGGCCTCCAATGTTCAAATTGTGAATGACAGGCTAAAATAAGTAACTGCCTAGTACAGATACGGCTGCTGCGGTCAATACCTTACATAGCGAGCCGTCCCCCGCTCGCTGCTGATTTCCACCTCAAGCGATCCAGTGTGGTAATGGTAACGGGGTTCGCCTCTCCGGGCTCTCCAGACTTCCGGCTGGGATGCAGGCACCGAAGTTCTCACGCGGGCTCAGAAAAATTCCCGGCCCACGCTAACACAAAGGCTTATCCCGGTGGGCTGCTCTCATCAGTCCTTTTTACCTGAGGGACGCAAGGGATTCTCGTGGCAGCAAGACATCTAATCTTTCCTAGTGGGAAAAAGAAAACTTGGGCTCTAGCTCATTTCTCATCAATCCTATCATTTGCCTCTGCCTCTGCGATTCGATCGCTGGCCCTTCTGGCTGTGGCGCCATGCTCCGATGTCCCGGCCGAGTTTTTCCAGCCCAGCAAAAGGGGCTCATCACAGAGCCTGTTCGACTGGCACCTCGCGTGTGATTCAGCCCCTTCGGATGGCGATCAGTGGCAACGGCCCTGGTCGTTTTGTGAACGGACCGCGAGCTTGTCATTTGTCAATCCGAGTTGACGCCCAACAACTTTTTGCTTTTACGATGGGCACACCGCCGCCAAGCTGGCCCAAAAGTTCCGGCAGCGGACCTCCTCCTGACGGCGTGATTTCAGGAGTTCGCCTCACGAGGCTTGGCATATCAGATCATCCATCTTGTGCATCCCGTTCACACTTTGTACAATTTATCACCGTAAACTGCCGTGTTCACTTGGCTAATCCGCCTGGGTCTTGATGACTCGGCGATTGCTGAGCAAAAAAGCCGGTCCCGATTTCTGACCCAATAGTGCATTCCGAAGACCCATGTTTCTCGCCCCAGGTGGAGGCTGTGGCCAAAGCGGCGTAGCTAATTCCCAGCCTGGTGGTACTCGGAAGCAAGCGGATGGGGCCAGAGACGGCCAGCAGTTTTCGCAGTTTACAGATTTTGCAGTTGATGTGATGGGAAATCTGACATCATCTACATTATTTTTGCGATTTGAGATTTCGACACAAATCTCGGCATCTAGAGTATGTCCATACCAACGCAATCGTACACACGATATCGACCGCTATCACATTGCCAGCCGTTCTTAACCCTCGCCGTCATACTTCAATATCGCAAAACCCCGCCCCCGCCCACAGTGAATTACATTGAAACTCTCTCACTTTCTCATTCAATACCCTGAAGCTTCAGACTGAAGCTTCGATCTAAGAAACTCCAAGCTGTAGAAAGACGACAAGAACGGCGGTGTAGCTAGGGGATGTGGTCCAAAATTAGATCTGGGTACTTCATGGAGCGTAAAGGAAATACTTACCCTGCGGCGGCAGCTAGTATCTCAAAAGGCTTTGCAACAATACCCCAGTTCATTATTGTTACAAAAACGAACAGAAACCCAGTGATAGCTATGAGTTTCATGGTGCTGTCCTTGACCGAGGCAAGGATCCACATAGGTGCCGCTAGCATTGTGATAGCTGCGAAATACAAACCGAGACTTGTTAAGATTTCGAATTTGTCGTCGTCAAGATAGATAGCATGATTATGTATGGTTTGATGCTGATGGGTATGACTTCTTCTTTGAACCCATTGGACGATTGGGAGACCAACCTTTTGTTCGAAAATCTGCTGTGCGCTCGATTTCGCCTGTGGAGCTACTGAAACAAGGTCTCTTTTGTCCAGGTAATGAACTTCTTTCGGCTCGATTGGCGTATTGAAATTTCTGAGCCACTGTTTGATGTTACCTTTAGTAACTGAAGATGCTCGTTGCGCGCCTCTCAGCTGGAGGTATTGCGATAAGAGAGTATCTACACAGTCAGTGAGCTTTTGGCCGAATATAGGTCAGGATACCCACCATACTTGTGCAATGCCACCCCTATCTTTTCGAGTAAATCAATTCTCTCTGGTTGATCCTTTCTGAACGAACCATTATCGATGTCCTTGTGTCCACGGTCACGCAGTCTCTCATCCATTGTGTCTAGTTCTTCTTCTAACTGAGAAAGTCTGTCTTGGAGTGCAAGTAGAAGACGGCAATGAAGTTCGTCAAATCTCCTGATGGCGAAAAACTCGTCCGAATTGGCCGAAAACTCGCAGAAGTCTTTATACCCTACGTATTTCCTTCGAAGCTTTAGCAAGACATTTTCGGAATGCCAATATCCGCACTCACCATGGCTTTTTATCAAGTTCTTCTTGAGTCATCTCACGCATCTCAACATCCTCGCTTAACGTCGCCATCATACTGCTTCAAAGTTGGGAGTGCTGGAAGAAATATCAGATGTGAGTGCAAATAATGGAGGTCTTTCGATGGTCAAATACCAATTATGACGGTCGGCACACATAAATGCCTCTGAGATAAGCGTCATGCCAGTGAGCTCGTTCAGCCACTTGCATCATTTTAGGGTCACTTGCATGCCGAGAAACGTAACGAAACTTCTCGTTGGCTTGACCGCCCTATTTTCGGACCAGGCTGTCGCTTGGGTAACATCACTCTGTCGTTGGGCACTTAGGCTGACCGGGCGGACAGGCACCATTCACGACCAGCGAAAAAAGAACCAAAAAGCAGGTTTAGGAAAAGTCAGAACGCCAGAATACTCACAATATTTGAGTAGGCCGCAGCCCGGCGAAAAGTATCTCTTCCAAACAGTTGTTTGTAACCGTCCAGTCCAGAAGGCGTTGCTGCCAGCTGACAATCCGCTTGAAACCCTATTTCCGAGTCCTACGCACGCTATTACACTTTCAGCGGACATTTTTCTCACGGCTAAAACTACCTCGGGAGTTACTCCTTTGTCACCGATTTAGACTTGCAATATGGGAGAGGATTCAGGACCACCCTTCATCGTCCTCGATCCCTACTTCGGTATGTCTTAAGATACGCTGAAGCCCATGTTATTCTTTACTTGCAGGAGCGCCTAATTTGGCAATGAAATCTGATACTTTAAAACTTTGGACGCCATAATAATTTCTGACCGTTGAATAGGAGGGATAGTTGTAGTACGAACTACAGATCCACCACAATCTGACCCCCGGCCGTAGACGATGGTCAGCCGACTGGAATCACGATTTACCAGACCGGAGCTTTTGCGCCTCTTGAGGTAACAGTTGAGCAAATCGAATCTTCTGCGATTGTTAAGGAATTGAGATCAACATCCGGAAAAAGGTTGTGTGGCATAAGCATTCGAAAGGACTTAGTCTGGAGGTGACAGATATCTGATGATGGGGAAAATGTTGAATTAAATCAAGTCATAAGTTTTTCATCATAGATGAGGCTGGATGTCAATCAAACCGCACTTTCAAACAGACTCGGCTATTGCACTGATGTGTGCAAAAAGGATAGATGATATCTTCACGTCGGCTATGCGAATTCACTTCTCTATGTTGGAAAAGGGAACAGGTCTGTATATTACACGTGAAATTACTAGATAAGTCAAATCTTTCGAAGATTTACTTGAGTGGTCTGCTTGGGGAAGACAGATCTTTCTAATTTGAACGGCAACGCATGAAGTCTCGTAAATTCTAGATATGAATGTCTTGCCGGTCTTGCCTTTATCCCATTTGCTCAAATTGCCAGTTTCGGTGCGGTATACAACTCTTATAATGCAGATTCACAAACAATGATAACTGCTGGATATCCTGCTCATCTCAAATCTTCCCGACTCAAAGTGCTCGTGACTGAAATTTTGACTATTTCCCCTCATTCCCTCACCGGACGGTATTCTTCACCGAGACACCGGCTGACCGAGCAGAAGACCTTTTGTGCAACCATCAAATGCGCCCCGCTCACGTCACCAGAGCTTATTTCCAGCCTTGTGAAAGGGTTGCAACGGGAAACTACATAAAACTCCACCACCTGTGCAGAGCCGGAGCCCTCGGGCATTCAGCCATCTGCAGCGATCGTCTACGCCGCCAACGTGCGCGTGGGTCATTTCTTTAAGCTTATTTAACGTAGCCTTCGCTAATCTGAACACAGGAGGTTGCAGTCTGTGGTTTTATCCGTTGAGTTTAGCGGCTTCTGGACGAAGCTATTCTCGCCAAGATCGCGGCTAGGGCAGGATTATGAATCAGGAGGGATTTTGACGTGAGACAAAATGAACGCGTTTCAGGCCTCATTGATCATGTGACTGAATGAAACAGCTTAACGATTTATGGCTTTCCAGACTACGGCTTACGGCTTGCGCGCGCACGTCGTTTTCAGATGTTGGAAGTGAGCAGGGCTTATGCACCCTGTTGCTAATAGTTGGCTGTAGAGTGTACTCAAAGCAAGAGGAGTTCTGCAAGGTAAATTTCATAGACATCGGTATTCTTGTTGCATCAAAATTCGTGGTATCATTATTCCCTCCCACTCAAGGTATCTACGTTTGTTCCACAACGTTCACCTCGAACGATTTTACCTCACATGGCATTGCCAATTGCAATGATTTATACATCGAGCAAGGCCTTTCTGGGCTTCTTTGCTCTGAATAGCATGGTCTGACCGATAACCCAAGTCTCAACCTCCTCAAACTCCTGGTCTAGTGCATCCTTGACATCCTCCTCCTTGTCGTCCCAGTTGTTGAAGACACCCCACCACTTGTTATACCAGGTAAGATAAAACCTCGTGAGGAAGTTGGTAGATTGTCTAGGCCCCAGTACGGTGCAACCAGCGAGGACTCCGTCCTCACTCAGCAGCTCCTTGTACGTCCCGAAAGCACGGAACTTTGACTTGCCACTAGGCATGCAGTGGAAGAGGTTGAACATGGTGATAGTATCATAGCGCTCGCCAAGGAGCTGCTTTGGCGGCGGCTCCGTAACGTCGGCCTCTACGCAGTCGACTTCAGTAGCCGACGTCACGGACAGGACGCGGGTCTTGGTGGCATTCAACGGCGGCGCGGTCAAGTCCACGAGGGTGAGACGTTGCCTGCTGTTGGCACGGAACGGCCTCGCCAGCGCCACGGCGGGAAAGTAGCCGGTAGCGACGCCGACATCGAGGTGGTTGCGCGAGAAGTTCTCGCTGAAGAAGGGGAGGAGGACGTTGTCCGTGGGACACCCCCACATGTACTTCATGTTGAAGCCGAGGACATATTTGTCATAGAAGATGGTGAGAAAAGACGGTGAGTAGACGGTCTTGTACGTTGTGTTAGTCATCGTGGGCGATGACGAGTGAGAACAATGAATGGGGATGAGAGTGGGAATGAAGAGCGGTGCGGTTCAGTTGGGATCGCTCATGGATGGGCAAGGGCGCTGCAAGAAGAACAAAACCTTGAGATCATCCGGGAGGTGGCCGGTTATCACCTTGCCGGTGGCAATGCCCAGCGGCAGGGTGATTGTGTTCCACGACCAGTACATGCCCGTTCGTGTGAAGTGGCCGTCTGGCACATGCACTGGAGTGGGTTGCCGTATCCGTTCTACGATTTGTGTATGCATGTTCTCAAATGCTTGTTGGCGCTAAAGTCGTTGTTGCTTGACCATTTGCCTTGAATGGAACCCAGATTGCTGATCAATTGGTCAAATACGTGTAAATCCCTCAGTGGCCCCATTCCGAGTGGCATTCTATTGATGCCATGCACGTCGCCTGCATGCCAATTCTTCAACAAATCGAACTAAATTGCTGAGGGGGGTCATGTGGGAATGGCCTCGCCCAGATCATCAACTGCAAAGTACTCCGCGCCTGCATGCATGCAGCCATGCTCTGATCAGGACCCTTGTTTGCACTGTATATTGATTCCAGACAATGGATTGTACTCAATGGGGCTATGCAAACCGCCATGACAATTACAAGAATATTTGATTGTCTTCTTTTTTTGATAATGAAGCCCAAGATTATCATAATTCGCTCTACGCAAGCGCCGCGTGGGGGTATTCCGACCAATCCCTTCCATGTAAAAGCAAACACACATGTTTTTTTCTTGAAACCCTTATTCCGCATGCGAACTGAGGTTGGAAGTAGAAATTGACGCCTTTGCCGACCGTGACGAGCTGGCCAGGGAGACAGAAGACGATGTACCGCTACGCGGCTTTCGGCAGTAGACCGTAAGCCTTGTTATGCGATGACTGGTTAACAAATAACAAGCAAACCGGTTTGCGGACGGGACAGGGGACTCGGCTTACAATGTCATGAACGAATGGTAGTTTGTATCGCCAATCTCTTCATGGACGTCTTTAACCAACGCAAGCACTTGGGGCTCGGTCCAGCCGAGGCCAATGGTGAAAACCGGGACACTGAGCGGCTCGATGATGGCATTCCAGTTCTTGGTCATCATGGCACCGAATCTTTGGCACTTCTTGCCCGGATAACACGAGTTCGTGGGGGCAGCATGCTTCGTTATCTTCATCCTCTCGAAGCCAGCCTTCTCTAAGATAGGCTGGTAATGGTTGGGATAGTGTAGAGATCGTCCCATGTTCTGCAGGCCTTGTCGGAGCAGCAGATTCCATTTGTGGAATGCGCTGCCCTCCAAGGATCGGTTTGGAGACTGAAGTATGGCAATCCACTCTGT